TTAGGCTTAACATCGACGAAAATTCAACGCGAAGCGACACGCAACGGAGAAAATGTCAAGATGGGATAAATTAATATATTTTTTCGTACATAATAGGTATCCGAAACATCGATCTTCCGAACAAGTCCAGTCCGCAATTGATTCGGATAATCGACGCTATACTGTATATGAAACAAATACTTTTAATTAAAGATCATTGTGTTTTGGTGTAGATTTATAAATCCATTTTGAAAATTCTTAATGGAGCTTCAAACCTTACATGTAAATCTGTATGTAACTGTTTAATTTTACATGTCTGTATATTCATGTAGGCTTATGACAGTCTTTTGAACCGGAATAAATACTGATAATTAAGTTGAATTTTGATAATAGAAGTGTCATTTTGATGTCCTCAGAATAGTAACAGCATATTTACAATGCACTTTATTTTTTTTCTTTATTTATTTACTAATGTATAGCTTTACGTACAAAGCATTTATAACTTATATGGAAATTAACGCAATTAATATTAATTAATGAAACAGTCTTAGTTATTATTAAAATATTGTCTTTTATCTTTCAGGACCGTTTCTTGTAATTACTCACCAAATAAGTTTTACTAGTTTTGATACGGGGGAAAAGGAGGAAGATGAGAATTTTGAAGTGTTAGAGTTCGCTATCGAAGATGAGAAGTTCGGTCACGATGATATTGATGAAATGCAAGAAGATTTAACTGCAGTTCGAAAAGATTTTAGGGAATCCTGGTTATTTCGGGACACTGTAATAGGGTAAGATATTTAAGCAGTACTTTAATTCATTTGTTTTCATACATTTATAAATCGTTTAGACCTGTCTGTAATGGAATTTAGAAGAATGGTTCACTACCATGAAGTAAACTTGATGTCATGAGCAGCTCCTACTTATCACTACTCTAACACATATAGAATGATGCACTTAATTTTGATACGTGAATATTATATTAGCCTCAAACTTAAATACTTATATCCTAGCATGTACTGTGCACTAAATAACATAGACACATTTATACCATTTAAAAACATACAAAGCTTTATTTAAATTTCAAGTATAAATAATAAATTTTGGAAAATAAAATATGAATATTAACTTATATTGCAGGAGCGACGGTACAGCAGTTGTAAATGCAACACTACCAGATACCATCACAACATGGGTAATACAAAGTATAAGTTTGTCTAATATAGGTGGGTTCTGCGTATCTACCCCGACTGAAATCGTATCATTTAAGAATATTTTTCTTCGTTTAAATATCCCATATTCTGTAGTCCGTAAAGAAAAACTAGAAATTAAAGCTACCGTATATAATTATTATTCTGAACAAATTCCGGTAAGTTCTAATTTATGAGCAACTTCGCGGATACAATGCACATGATAAGTTATAAATATAGTTGGCATATAATAATGTTACTTTCTAAACATACGTATGCATAAATAACTTTAGGTGATAGTTTATATGTACGGAGTGGCCCACCTTTGCTCTGGAATAGAACCTGGAAAGAAAAGTGAACGTAAGAGAATAACAGTCGAAGCTAATTCTGCTGAAACTGTGAGATTTCCTGTTGTTCCTATGAAGGCAAAGAAATACACTATTCGTGTTGTAGCCTTAAGTCCTGTCGGTTCTGATGTCGTCGTGAAGAAATTAAATGTAGTGGTATGTACAATATACGTATTTTGATATACAGAGGGTAAAAATACAAGTAAATTGTCAGTTATTTTTTAAATAAATTATATATTTAAATGTAAATAATGCACATCTGAAAAATTTTGATCATTATATATATGTAGTAATGCTGGATTTTGTTTAATATTTTTAAAAATATACTATAATATATTTCAAATATGTTACAGTCCGAAGGTGTCGTGAAGGAGAAAGATATAGTAATTTTCTTGGATCCTACAAATAAGCAAAAAAGAAAACGCAGACATTTAATTACGGAAAGAATTTCGGGTGAGTGTAATTTAATTTACAAAAGGTTTGGGCTTTTTCAGGTGCCATTTGAACTTGTATGAAAAATGCCCTAAGGGCTTTCTTTTCAAAATATTCCTCTTGGAAACCCCAGCTTGACAGAGGGATCATAGTGTTGCGTTTCCGCATACCATAAAGCAATACTTCTTTGTAATAGTTATTATAGCTTTATAATGTTATGCAATTATTGAAAACTCTTAAATTCTTACTGATATATTTTACTAAAATAATATTTTACATTTTCTATTACTAGATTTCATTGATGAATCAGAAAATTTTCAAATTACAAAAATTAATCTTCAACCAAACCCAAATTACATTGCTGATTCAGAAAAATGTATTGTCTCTATGGTTGGTAAGTTATTTCTATATTATTTAAAATTTCCTTTATTTTAGGAATGTTTCGTAAAGTGCTAAAACACTATCAAGTTTTTAACCCATTCCCTATTGCGTAGTAATTACACAGATTAATTATCATGTACTAATTTATCTCATAAGTTATTGAACGTAAAAAGTTACTCAAGTAAAAATATAACTTAGCTAACAATCTAGCAAAGTGTAAAAATTGCCAACATGTTAATTTATATCATATATTTTAGGTACAGAATATGGTCCAAGTGTCGAATCTGTGCTTATCGATCCAGAAAATTTAATAAGAATGCCCACAGGCTGTTGCGAGCAGACAATGATGTACATGGGTCCAACGCTTTATACGTTATATTTCTTGAAAAGTAGAGGAAGTATCAACAAAGAACTTGAAGAAAAACTTTACGATTTTATTAGAATTGGTATGATCTGTTCGAAAATTACTATATGTGATGAAATATATCTATATTATTTATAATGTCTAAATTAACAAAGTTTATTTGTTAACTAGGTTACAAAAGAGGATTAAGCTTTAGAAAATATGATGGATCTTATTCACTTTGGCCTCATAGGCCTTCAAGTACATGGTAAGTAGAAAATTAATAACTAAATCTTTTATAATGTAATTTTAATATACAAGTTGTACTTTTCAGGTTAACGGCCTACGTGATGAAAATATTTTCTCAAGCCAGCAAATATATATTTGTTGATAAGTTTGTAATTTGTAGAGGCACATCTTGGTTACTTTCGCAACAAGGACTCGATGGTGGATTTCAAGATTCAAATCCTGTCATCAGAAAAGATATTATGGTAATATTCTCTTTGTAAATATTAAATATGGTAAAATATTTATACCGAATTTACTGACTGTACTGTATGTTAAACATTTATATTTTATATCATGCAGGATGGAGAAAACGGTAAAATTGCATTGACTGCCTTTGTTCTAATTGCCCTTCAAGAAAGTACTTGTTCAGATAGAGTAAAGTGCAATGTATTCTGTAGTTAACCTAAGAAATTCATTTTATTAATCTTTAATGTTTATTTCAGTTATTATCTATATCTCGTTTCATGGCAAAATTATTTCTGGAAAATGAATACTCGAAGGTAAATGACACATATACAATGGCATTAGTAGCTTATGCTCTAGCGTTAACCAATAGTAATGAAAAATTTAAAGCAAATGAGAAACTATTGCTAATGTCAACATTTGATGAAGGTGTGTATCAATATCATGTGATTCTATCTTTCTGATAATTATTAATTGCTTCGTACCTTTCAGCAATGTACTCAGAAATGCTTTGCATAAGATTGCTGATTTTCCACTTATCTGTATGATAATCACATTGTAAACTTATGTCAATACTTATGTTTCTATTTCATTTTTATAGAAATGAATTACAGATATTGGCAACAGTATACGAAAACTCAGTCTATAGAAGTTACTGCTTACGGTCTTCTTACACAAGTAAAATTAGATGATTTGTCTAACAGTCAATCTATTGTTAACTGGTTGAACAAAGAACGACTTTACGGAGGTAGTTTTCCGTCAAGTCAGGTAGATTCATAATTATTTACTACTTTATCGTAATCTTTATTTAACCTCATACATTTTAACAAATGTGAAATAATATTGTAGTCTACTGTCATTGCATTGCACGCATTGTCGAATTACTTAGTGAAGTCCAAATCAGAAGATATTTCTTTGTCGTGCAATTTCACATCTGAAGAAGATGGTAAATTTTTGAAAGATGTAGAAATCAACAATAACAATGCTCTTGTCTTACAAAACTTTCTGGTTTGTTTAATGAGTAATTATAATAAAAATCTACGATAAATACGAATCATAATTTGTACCCAATTTTTTATACAGATTAACAATCCCAGTGACACTTTGTCTTTGCATACTACTGGAAAAGGAATTGGCGTTTTATCTATGAAATTAAAATATAATGTATTAGAAGAAACAGATAAACTTTGCAAGGTATATTATTTAATTAATAGATTTAATTAAATTAATTATTAATTTAAATATGTGAAAGTGAGTATGAAAATATACTAGCGAGAGCGATTTGGTGGAGAATCACCAGACCAACCTAAGGAATTCAGATTTCAGTTTATGCAGAAATGTCAAAAAAAGATTTTAGGTAGTTTTTTCTAGAGTTGTTTCACCCTTATCTTTCGCCATCAGTATTCTAGCATTGTGGTCAATTAATTAAAAGACTACATGAGAGAAATCAATAAACACTGAAGTTGGTTGTTGGTTAAGAACTATAAACTGGTTATGTAGATTTTTCAGGAGATTTCTGTTTCTAATACTTAAATAGGAACCATTTTCTCATAAAATATCTTCCTGGCAAAGATCCCATTTGCAGAGTGCCTAAATATACCATTGATTTATTTCATGTAACCAGCCAAGCCGCATATTATAACGTGGATGATTCCATATTATAATGTTAAATTAAAAAGGTGCAGAAGCGAGTTATGAACATTTCACAGGATCTTTGTGATTATTTGAGGTGTTCATATCTCGCCTTTACACACTACACGATTGCAAGGTTTCGCTAAGTCAAGTATCTATTACTAGCAGGTAGGCCCGGCGTTGCTCGGGCAAAAGTAACGATAACTAAGATAAAGATTATTATGTTACAGTCAACATTACCCGTTTTCACAGAATGCGAGAATTAGGTCACCTTGTTTCCAGACTAATTAGAGAATTTTTAGATGAGTCTAAAAATATGTTCGATTTCCCGCAAAAACGAAAATAAACTGCATCTGCGTCTTGCACGTCGCTTACTCTTAACAATTCCATTGTTACGTAACACTTTCATTGTTGACACTTCCATTGTTACTGAAAACTTTTATTGTTACTTAAAACTTCCATTGTTACTTAACACTTCCATTGTTACTTAACACTTCCATTGTTACTTAACAGTTCTATTGTTGATGGAAGAGTTAAGCCTTAAACCTGTCACTCTCCCCCGTGGGGAAAAATTTCGAAAAATCCCTTCTTAGTGTGCGTTCTCCTATCGTACCCTAACTGTGTATCAAATTTCAACTTTCAACTCCTAACCGTTTGGGCTCGTATCCATAATGTATATAGAAGATTTAATCCTGTCTCTCCCCCCCCCGGGGGATTTCAAAAAATCCCTTCTTAGTGTGCGTTTTCGTGACGTACCCTAACTGTGTACCAAATTTCAGCTTCCAACTCCTAACAGTATGTGCTCTGCGCTGATTATTATTATCAACCCGTCTCGATTATATATTAGTTTGGTCTCTTCTCCTCTGTAACTGTAAAATTGGAAAATACTCGAATGTATATTGATATCAAAAAAACACTTCAGCAATTTTTCATTCTTGAGTAACTGAGAGAAAGATCCTATGACAGAATGCCCGTTATTAAAGCCTTGTATGTTTTCCTGAGTGGAATGAAAACTGAACTGTAAAATCTTCCAAAATATCTGTAAGGACTGGAGTCTGAATTCGCGTTAGGTGTATCGAATTTATATTGATGCAAGAATAATAATCTCAGGAAGGAAGAAATAATTATACGAGAAATTACTAATCCACGAGAAGCTTTTATTAAGTTTCATTCTCCCTGTATCAAAACGGCATGAATAACATTTTCATGCAGATGACAGTACCGTTATTTACCACTACTTTTACAATAGTAACACTATTCGTTTTATATAGCAATAATTAAATATTTTAAAATGTAAACTTACTAATTGTTTTTTAATGTAGTTTGAAACCACAATCGATTTATCAAATATTAAAAAATCAAGTCAGTATGCAAAAATATTCAATGAAAGTGAAATCAAAGGTAAATGCTTTATTCTTTAATGTTTTCAAATGTTTTTCTATTGTAATTAGTAATAGTTTGTGAAAAAAGTCTATTTGTTATAAGCTTATAAAGATTATTTCATGGGATAATCTATTCACCCAAGTAAAAAAAGTTAATTTTTAAAAAAATATTACAAAATTCTGCTGATAAATAAACATTTCAAATGCTGATCATGCCAATATATTTTTATTTAACTCCGAATTGAAAAAATTGTAGACATATAAATTCCTACTGCTATCTGTCCTTTCTTAATCACGAAAACATTATTAGGTATACGACAGTCGAGACGAGGTGTGTGAAGTGTAGGAGGAAGAAACCCCGATTAATTATATACGCACTTCCGTTCTACACCGGAAAACACGTGATTCAAATTAAATTTTTTACCAGATTACAATTACTTAGATGACAAGCATTACTCTCTTGTTATCAGGCAAAGACGACGTACAGAGGCACAAAAACTTAATTCGAGATCGGGAGCATATATTTTAAATACGATTAAGAATTGTAATCTGGCATTGTGATAAAGACACAATAGTGTTTCCTCGTCAGTAAACATATATTATTTCAATTACGTATATGACCCGTATATAAAAATCATGTTTTGTTCACGAATATCTTTTTACATTGCATTCGAGAGAGTTACTTATATTACCATTATTTGGTATATTGTTGTATGACAGTGAATATATTTTCTTATTAACATCAATGTATATTATAGTAATTACAACTACAAAATAATATAACATATAAATTTAATCAACTCAATAAAATATATAAGAAATTAATATAAATTTTTATAATATTCAATGTTTATTATACAATTGCATTATTACTTTTATGATAGATCAAGAAAATGACGTAAATAAATCTGGCACTATCAACGATTCAGAACTTTCTCTTCGAAACGTAACTGAAGTTAAAATTTGTACTCGGTAAATATAAACTTTTATTGATAAAAAAAGAAAATATATTTTGTAATTTGTAAGAAAAGAATTCTAACATTTTTATGCCATTCATAAATAACATTTATGAATTTTAATTAATTTTTTATAATTATTTCGACAGATTTTTATCTAATAAAAATTCTGAAATGACCATCATCGAGTTTGGAATTGTAAGCGGTTTCAACGCCATCAAAGCTGATTTGGACAAAGTAAGAGTTGAAAAATAATATCGACGATTAAAATGTCAAATAATTAATTTATATAATAAATTTTGGAGTAAGTTGTATGTAACAGTGAACATGCAACAGATTACCAAATAGCATCGTATATGTATTGCAAATAATTGTAACATGATCATGTTGATGTATCAAATCATGATGAATAGCACTTTGTGGCCTGGTTGTTTGGTAATGAATCACCGATATAGTAATATGTTATCGACTTAATAAACGAATTGGCAGTGTATAGTGATCGACGTTTTGTTCACGTGTATAACACTAAAATAGAACCAGCCGCTTATGGAATTACCTTCCCAAAGATGTCTTTCTTATGGTGTATAGTCTTAATTCATAGATTTAATAAGTGTACATTGAGGCTTTGATTATCCTACACAAGCTGTCTAATTATCACTATTAAATTCAATTTCTCAATTGATATTTTTAATTGATAAAAGTGATAAATGTTTGATTGTAAGTGCAGATTTCATTTCTGATGTATCGATCAAACGTCTTACAATGCTGGCACGTGAATAATTTAAAGTCTTGTAATTTCACGTATAGTTAGATAGGCCTACACATATGGTAAAGACAAAAGAAAAGATTAACGCAAAAGATGTTCCGTGAAATTGTCAAATTAATTTATGCACATTGTGTAACAACGCTTTAGTCACACAGAGGAGAGAATACATACTTTATTCAATTTGTAGTAACCAAGCAGGTATACCCCACAGCTTCTCCAATTAGTGATAGACCAGATCTAAAATTGGGTAATCTGTGAAGCAAACACAACATTTTTTTCATTATTCTAGATTTATCGATTAAAATGTAATACATAAACTTTATTCATCCAAATTCATCATTTAAACTGTTATACTGCCAATTTATAATTTAGTTTAATTTATAGTTGGTGAAAGACAATAGCAATCCTGTCGATAGATACGAAATTGCTGATAAACGGATAATATTTTACCTGGATCACGTAAGTTTATTAATAAAATCGTATTATTTTTAATGTTTCTAAGATATTCATATTTGAATTATGTTATACTGTTGACAGGTTTCATACCAGAAAGACACGTGTTTAAGGTTCAAAACGAAAAGGGATTACATTGTTGAAAATCTCCAAGCATCTGTTGTTAAGATTTACGAATATTATAATAATGGTAAAATATTTAATTTTAATTATAAATATAAATAAATGTAAGGTATTATCATATTACCCATAAAGATCAGAAATCGTATCTGGTATGCAATTTTTTTCTTTCCTCCCCATATGTTTTTCTCCAATATGAGCCTATTCAAACATGTTCGAAATGGAAAAAGTCTTCTTAATTAATTCTCAATGGGTGAAAAACACTAAACGTAAAGAAAAATTAATAATGAGTAGCATTAGTATTTACTTTAAAGCAGAATTACGAATAGAAGGTGATATGTAGGAAATAAAAGGAAAGAACACTAGCTATAATTATGCCCAGTAAGAGGTTTGCATCACTGCCATATCTTAATTGTCACTCTATGTTTCTTTACAATTTGCCCAATTACGAGCCAGTTTAACATTTAATACATCAGCCTGTACAGTTGTGAATAAGAACAATGATTCCATCAGATCGCTATGAGGTAAATTCTGTTACAGAAAAACGTCTTTGTCCTTATCTGATCTTATAACCATAAAATATTTTGAGGAAAACGAGGTTTCTTCTTCATTTCTTTAAAAAATTGTATTAAAATTATTCTCTCCCATGGCACCAGGAGAACATTCACTTTTTCACCATTGGCTAGGTTTAAGGCCAAAATGCAAGGAACAATATGATGGATAAAGCCCTACGTGTTAAAGACTAGCTACCCTTGAAAAACGCTGAAGTTCTTCGATATAAACTGGAGTTTTTCATCATGGCATAATGACATTATTTCAATTAAAGCCATTGCTACTATCCTCATTACGAAAACTGGCCAAACTTCTACTAAAAATCGAAAAATACTTTTAGTGCTCGAAACTCGGAAAAAAAATTAATAAAGAAATTCTTTCGATCACTAAAGTTTGCGTTATATAATTAATTCTAACATTTTTTATATAAAATTCAGTTTCTAATGATAGTTAATTTTGCAGACAATTCCTGCACTATAACTTATGGTCCTGATTCCAAGAGTAAACTAAAAAATCCAGTCTGTGAAGGAATACTCTGCCAATGTGACGAAGAAGGATTGATAAAAGACAAAGTTGTATAAAATTATTTCTATAACAATATTATCCAATATTTCATTTCATTCAATTAAAGAGACTTTCATACTTGATATATATTTTTGTAGTTTTTATATTGTATTGCCTACTTAAGAATTTTCTTAACATTTGTACATTTTTAACGTAATAATACTAATAAAGTTTTATGTGTAAGAGATAAAATGTTTCTGGTATGTATCATTTGATCAATGAGCTTTACCATTGTAATTTAATTTAAAATAAAAAAAATGATTATTTGCTAAGAGACGATTATTCTATTTAAAATAATACTTTTATTATAGTGAATAAACTATTAACGAGCACTTATTTATTCTGATATCATCACAACGCCAGGAGAAAGATATAGTAATTTTCTTGGATCCTACAAATAAGCAAAAAAGAAAACGCAGACATTTAATTACGGAAAGAATTTCGGGTGAGTGTAATTTAATTTACAAAAGGTTTGGGCTTTTTCAGGTGCCATTTGAACTTGTATGAAAAATGCCCTAAGGGCTTTCTTTTCAAAATATTCCTCTTGGAAACCCCAGCTTGACAGAGGGATCATAGTGTTGCGTTTCCGCATACCATAAAGCAATACTTCTTTGTAATAGTTATTATAGCTTTATAATGTTATGCAATTATTGGAAACTCTTAATTTTTTACTGATATATTTTACTAAAATAATATTTTACATTTTCTATTACTAGATTTCATTGATGAATCAGAAAATTTTCAAATTACAAAAATTAATCTTCAACCAAACCCAAATTACATTGCTGATTCAGAAAAATGTATTGTCTCTATNCTACAGACAAATCAGTACCAAAACAAACACTGATACACAGCACAGTGGCATACCAACAGAAGAACTCACAACTTATTGGTCTTCTCTTTGGTCCAATGCTGTTGCACATATTGCTGATGCAGGCTGGATCGAGGAGGATTACACAAAGTTGCACAACATATCAACTATGCCCTGTGCTGAAATAAACGTACACGACATACGCTACGCCGTTAAAAAAACACACAACTGGAAGACACCTGGTGTAGACAACATTCACAATTTCTGGTACAAAAAGTTTACATCACTGCACCAACTAGCTAAACATCTAACACACATCATCATTAATCCACAAGACATGCCAAAATTTCTTACTCGGGGCATCACCTACATGAAACCTAAAAACAACAACACCGCAGACCCCACACAATTACATGTTTTCCACACTCTACAAATTATTGACATTCTGTATCACAAACAAAATATACAAACATGTTGAAGAACACGACATTTTTACAGAACAACAAAAAGGTTGCCGTAGAAATCACAGGGGATGCAAAGAACAGTTACTCGTAGATTCGGTCATTCTACGGCAAGCACACAAACAACACAGAAACATACACATGGCATATATAGACTACAGATAAGCATTTGACAGTGTTTCACACAGTTGGCTGCTACATATTCTACACATGTACAAAATATATCCATCACTTATTGCATTCTTCCAAAACACTATGCAGCACTGAAGAACAACACTACATCTCAGATTTAGTAACACTTCCATACAAACAAATTAAATATTCGTTAAGCGAGGAATTTTTCAAGGAGATTCCTTGAGCCCTCTCTGGTTCTGCCTAGCCCTGAACCCATTATCCAACATGTTAAACAACACGCAATATGGCTACAATATCAGACATGAAAAAGCAACACACTTTACGCTGTCACATCTCATGTACATGGACGACATAAAACTTTATGTATTCACACAAAAACAACTTCAGCAGCTCTTACAAATCACACATTCATACACTAAGGAGATACAAATGGAGTTTGGCTTAGACAAATGCAAAAGACTTCACATAGAAGAACGGATCCTGAAGAAAGAAGATTCTGCACTTAGAAATACAGATGTTATTAAATCCATCGAAGAGGACGAGTTCTACAAGTATTTAGAATTCCAACAGGTCAAACTAACAGAACATACACAAATAAAGCAAAGATTAATTAAAGAATACCAAAGTAGGTTAAACACTATACTTAGAACACAGTTAAATGCAAAACACACAGTTAAAGCAATAAAAACATATGTCATCCCTTACTCACATTCTCTTTTGACGTTATACATTGGACTCACACAGATCTTGAGCAACTCCAAAGGAAAACAGGAACAACACTTACTAAGTCTATACAACATCATCCTAAATCCGCCATAGAAAGATTAACCCTTCCACGTAAAGATGGCGGACGTGGCCTGATCGACATAGCTAGTCTTCACTACAAACAAATAGTCACTGCGAGAGTTTTTCTACAAGAAACGAGAAACATCACAGTTACATAAAGCAGTAACTCTAGCAGACTCAAATAACACACCATTAAACTCACACTCACTTCATACAGACATGACACAACATATAAAAAGCATAGAAACCATCAAGCATTCGTGGGCTCGAAAGGCACTTCATGGCAGGCATCCTTATGACCTGGCTCAGGATTTTGTTGACAAAACTGTGTCAAACAGCTAGTTAGATCGGGGATGCCTCTTTGGGGAGACGGAAGGATTCATGCTTGCCATACAGTCAGGTCATAAATACAAAAAACTACAGAAAACACACTCAAAGGTACAACACTCGCAAATGACACGTGCAGAAAATGTCACATCATGACAGAAACTATACAACACATTACTTCTGGTTGCAAGCTCTTGGCACAGACAGATTACTTACATAGACACAATCAAGTAGCAAATATAATAGACCAAGAGCTTGCAAGAACAAAAATTGGTAAACATCCATTTCATTAAAGATATTTCAGGGTTTTCACTCTTAACACAGTATATTTATATCTTATGTTTAATAAACAATCTGATATTTTACAAGAAACCAGCACTGTATAATATTCTGTTTAATTCAAGAGTGTGCATATTTATATATATAGAGCAGCTTGCAATGGTACAAAATGTACAGTACAGCAAAATCTGCACCAATTTGGCTCTTATTTAACTTAACATTTAGAAAAAAATACTAGAAAATTTTGTAATTCTCTGTTTTTGTTAATTCATCTTAACTCTTATCCATAAGTGACATATAAACGAAATTTTACTGTATTTTAATAAAGTTTGTTTTCACTTATATTAAGTTAAACAAATTGTATGAGGATTGCAGTAATGTCATTCCTTTTTTCTGTCATTGAAAGGTATCTTTGATATAAATTTAATACCATACTCTACAAAGACAATTGCAGATAGTTATATAATCCTATTTTAAATTTTTTTATTTTATAATTTATATAAAATATGTTGAATTGTATTGAAATTAAACACATACAAAAAGTACTAAACCAAATAAAATTTCACTAAAAATACTAACGTTTGGAAAATTAATTTACCTAATGTGGTTGGAGAAAGTCTTTACCTAAAACACTTTCTCCATCGAATAACAGAAACTGAATTAGTTGTAAATAAATGTAATTACACGAAGTATACTTTATAACATACAAATATATATAAAAACAATATTTTCAATCACATTTAAGGTCATTTAAAATTAAAATACAACTCTTCTTTATGCAAATTATTTTAAATAACCGTGCGTGTGTGCGTGCTTGTACGTGTTGAAACACAGAGGAAATTGTTCGTATCAATCGAAAAAATTTAAAGTAAAAATACCACTGGTTTTCTTCTGTAAGTATCACAGATATTTTAAAATTAGAATATCTCTTATAATTAAAAGTTTGTATTTTTTTAAGTAAAATTAAAATTATTAAATGAAGAGTATCTTATTTGGCAGATTAGAGGAACGAGATTAAAACCACGCAAAGTCTAAATTTTTTATTACGAATTTAGATATTAAATTTGGTTCGATATCAATTTTGTAAACGTCGATTTGTTATTTACAATGCTAATTAGTAAATTTCTATAGATTTAGCTGGATGCAAGGATTGATCAGAATTTTTATCTTGAATACATTATTGACCACTTATGGCTCTATTGATACAATAATGTAGACAATTGCAGTTAAAAAAGTTATATTTATAGTTAAATGAGGAATAATTTAAATTATTTCGTTTTATGTTAATGTAACTCAGATATTACGTTAATTGCGATTAGTAAAGAATTTTCTGTATGAAGTGTTACACAAATATCTATAAACTAAAATTAAAATAAAGGTAATTTACAGGCTGGTTGCTATAAAGCTGTGGTACTGAGAAAACTTTGTATTTACAACGAATAAGCCAAACTTTGTGAATATGCTAATTTAGTTATCAAAATGGTTATCTACATAATAAGATTTAGATTTGAGAAGAAATTTCCTATTTCAGTAATCCTGGTAAGAATCGAAATGGCAACAGTTTAAGACTATATAGGTTGGGCAAAAATGTTTTCCATGTAAAAATGAAATAACATTATTACTTTTAATTATTTTATAAGTTTCTTTTCAGCATTTTGATACACACATATTAGAAAATCTTGTTGCTTGAACATTCAAGATAACATGTTTTAAATCAACCCTGCGTTTCTCATCACAATAGCAAATTGTTTCTATGGTAAAGTGACTTTTCTCCCACCCTGTGCTACAACATAATATGCGTTCAGTTTGAAATTCACATTTATACACAAATATGTTAATACTTATATTCAATAGTTTGTTTTTATGTTTAAACTTGAAAAATATATTTTCATGTAAGGAATTGTTAACATGATAAATTGAATGCTAAAACATGTAAATTAATGTCAGTATATGTAGATATTATTTGTAATGGAAACAATGAATAATAAATGCTCTTAAATGCTGTTTTTTCTTTGTAGGTGTTGATAGACGTAGATAGTATCATGAGCTACGAATGCAAGATTTGTGGTAAGTCGTTGGCTGCTAAACAGAATTTAACTCGTCATATGAGAATCCACACAGGAGAGAGACCCTATAAATGTGAAACATGTTACAAATGTTTTACTCAATTGGGCAATTTGAATTCCCATTTCAGAACTCACACGGGAGAAAAACCATTCGAATGTAAAACATGTAATAGATGTTTTTCTCAAAAGAGCAATTTGAATCGTCATCTCAGAACCCACATGGGAAAATAACCCTGCGAGTAAAAAATATGTAATAAACGTTTTTAGAACGCATTGTGTTTAACTCATCATAGATTCTATACTGAAGACACACCTTACGAATATGTAATAAATGTTTTCCTGAAGAATGGATATTAGATTGTCATTGCAGAAGACACTTGAGGGAGACATTACTGAAGTAACAAATACCCCATAAAAATTGCTCTACTGGAATGAAAGGGAGTAACGATACAACGACTTATTCAAATGTAATTTCCAGCGATTTTGTTAGCAGAAATCCTCGTTTCGAAGAACATCGTTTAATTCAGAATATTTCTACTCATTTTGAATGTAGCCTATTCATTTGCCTCGCATGTAGTAGTCAATTTCAAAGTGAAGCTTACCTGAATTTTTATCGTATAATGCATGATCTATACCCATTTATGTGCGTTATTTGTTTTCAAGCTTTCTGCAGTCGTAAGGCTTTAGAAGAACACAAAACAATTCACAATTCATTAGTCAACTTGTCTTACCATTGCAATAAATGTAGTGTAACATTTGCTTGGGAAGAAAATTAAGAAGTTCATCTTGAATATAATATAAATTTTGTGAAAAAAATTTTGATTGAAAATATACCAACAAGAATTTTATAGACAATTTTAAGTATCTTAAATTGATTTTAAAATAAAGTTTATTGTGAAGATTTTTTGTAATTAATTTCTTGCATTTATTTTTATTTAATACATATAAATTAAATTTAGTGATAGGTTAAAGTAGTTTCTCATTAATTACATAACATTTTTAATTCGATATCTTAATAACAACTCTACAGAATACAGAATATTTATTAATTATTCAAAAGCTTTCGGCTCTCTTGGCATGTCGTTTCTCAGGATCTAATTATTAGCGAGGTTGAAGTCGAAGTTTTAAACTCAAAGTGTATGTCAGACGGTCAGCGCCGGTTGCCTTAAAAATGTATATATTATTAATGCTTATGAAATGGCCAATAGCTTTATTTTCAGGGTAGAGATGTGTTTCATAAAAAATTCTACATGCTTTATTAAAATTGAAATGCTTTATTAAAATTTTTAATAAAGCATTTCACTTGTTGTTACAAGTGAAATGCTTTATTAAAAATTTTACTGTCACTTTTTTATATAATATATCAATTTACATTTATTTCATGTTGTTTTTTTTATTTATTTAAAACAATCTGTTCATTTAATTCATTGTTTTTTCTACATTACTCGGTTCGGTTAATGTCCAGGGTCATAGACTGTCATGGCGGCTCTTCCTGTTTTAGCCTCGAAACCGGACCGCTTTGGAGACCACGTGTCACGTGACGATGCGAGCGAACGGCGACGGCTGCTGCGCCGCGATAAACGGGGAAACCGACGCGCGGGTTAACGTCCATGTACNATAAATATATATTTTTGCTAGTATTTCCATTATTATAATAAATTATCAAAATATCGTCCACTTACTTGCTATATAAAAAAAAATTATCATCTCACTTGTGATCCCACTCCAGATATGATATGCGACCCTTTCTACCTTTCCACCCCTTGACATATTATGACTAAAATATAGCATCAGTGACTCTAATACGTAAATATCCTCGCAAATTAAAAAAAAAATTCGACAGGTTGCACTGTAAAGTCGTATCTTTACATGTAATACAGTCGACCCCCTATAACACGGTAGATACGTTCCGTTCTTTACGAATCAATTTCGTACGAGTCCTTGCCAATCACAGCCCGACACGTGTGAAGTTTACGGACTACGGCTGTTTGAAAGGTTTTCTTCCATAAAATTAATCGATTCTAGTCTAATTCGACTCAACATTTCCAAAATACGAATAATTTTTTGGGAATAATCTGTATAAACTACTCTATAAACAAAAAATTGTAGGATTACTTACCGATTGTTCACAGTTCGACGTCGCCATTGCTCAAGCTTGTTTTCGGCGCTGGACGGCAAAAAGTAGTTCGGCTGCCCGATGACGTTTTACCGAATTATAGGAGATTTTTAACCAGGTTTGTACGGATACCGTCGCAATTTTTTCGCCGTCTTATAGGAATCGTAATTATAGGAACCCGTGTTATAGGGGTATACTGTACTTCTTTACAGTTACATTTTTTCTGCGTTGATTTGTGATATATATCATGAAAAACATTTATAACTAAACAGGCAATTATTATTTATAGAAAGTACAGTTTTATCCTGATAAGTTATCTATTAACTTATTTAGAGAAAAAATATTCTCAACTTTAAACTATAGCAGATCACAACTGTTAATCTTTTGTTCATTCTTGTTAGGAAAAAAAACACATATATATTTAAAAATTCTCTATACAATAATTAAAGTTTTTGTCACCCTTTTCATAAGACAACGTATGGTATATTAATGCGGGTATTTTATTGTCTGTCTATTGATATAAATATTGTAAGTACAATTATATATGTTTTTATAATGTTCGATTCATAATATTACTTTAAAAGAAAGCAATATTCGTGTTAAAATCAGTGATTTTATTCGTAACAAATATAGTGGTTACTCATTTAATATTAATTTAATATATATCTATAATTGCAATGGAAATATAAACGAATGTAAAAAGTATATACGTAATACTTTTGTTAGATATCGCTAATCAATATCATAAAGGTCATAATTTATCGTGTTTTCAACTATTCGAAAGTAGAACAGTAGCGTTATTGTGTATTACAATTTTGTTATTACTTGTTTTCAATTATTTTCTCTTGAAGAATGATCTTCCGAAGATTTTTATGATCGAACAAAGCGAAAACCTAATTGGACAAAATGAGGTTGGTTGTCTTTTTTCATATTCTAATCGTAGTGGTAAATTCCTGTGAACAGTTTCGGGAACAATGGATAAAGGTTCCTTGTATGCTTTCGTCAGCACACAGCTGTTATATGTCAAAGAAATTATCCTATATTGAAATATTCAACGAATCCTTATCGATTTCATGTGGCTACGAAACAATAGACTCTGGTTTGATGCGATGTTTGGACGTTAAACACGTACAAAATCTAACATTTACTAATTGTTATCTATCGGCTTTTGATTTTGGAACATTTATTTTAGGGTATGAAATCAAACATGTCAAGATTATAGACACAACTTCTAAGAGGAACTTCGATAGCGCGTCGTTTATTAATTTGTCATTTCTAAAATCTGTAGAAATTCAAGGCGTGAAGTGTTTTGATCCATTTAATTTGATTTTTCATGATGTTTCTTCTATTACGTTATTGGAAATTAATAACTATAACTTTACTTTATTTGCGAACAGACCATTTCGGCACTTAATTAATCTTTCTGAATTATACATTATCAATGGAAGATTAAAAGTATTACCAGAAGAACTATTTTATAATCTCTACAGTTTGGTAAAATTAAATTTAAGTAACAATTACATCGAATCAATTCATCCATTCGTCTTTAGAAATCTTACCAGACTCGAATATTTGGATTTAAGTTTGAATATAATATAAAGTTTACCTTATGACATGATGAAAGGCCTTTCGAATTTAAGGATATTTTCTATTAATAGAAACTCTGGATTGTCAGGAATTCATACCAAATTATTAACGGATCTGCACAACTTGACTGAATTTCATGCAAAGAATTGCAGTCTTTCTATACTCAAAGAGGATTTATTTTTTGACTTAATTAATTTAATACTCATTGATATAAGTTACAACCAAATTACATATCTCCCGAGCAATCTACTGAAAAATAATAAAATGCTGACAAAGTTATTTTGTTCGCATAATAGAATATCGGAACTTCCAACAGGAATTTTTGAAGGACTTTCTACATTGAGAGAGCTAAATTTGGCTGGAAATCAGTTAAAAAATCTTTCTAAATATGATTTCCAGAATTTGTTGTCTTTGAAGACACTCATTTTATCACAGAATCGCCTCACACGTTTACCGGAAGACATTTTCTTGACGTTGAGTAATTTGTCATATCTCGATCTTTCTAACAACAGTCTTAGTAGAATTTCTGGTAAACACCCTTTTGGCAGCAGCAAGCATCTAAGTCATCTCCGTTTGATGTATGCCAATTTGGCAGTATTTCCCATGATAAATTGGACAGAATACAACTTGACTGACGTAGATTTCAGAGGTAATCGTTTTGGAATAGTGAAATTGCCAATTTACACTCCAAACCACATGAAAATGAATTTGTCTAACTGCAAAATCGAAACAATTTACATAGATGACTGGATATATGGATTTCAAATGCCTACTTATGATATAAGTAGCAATGAAATAATATGCGATTACGACCTGTACCAGTTCGTCACTGTACTTAAGTCAAATATAAAAATTGCATTAAAAATGTTTCCAAATATAGAAAAAACAACGTGTTACACAGAGGCAAGAAATTCTTGGCGAAATGTACGGCAAATAAGATTGCTTGATAATACACCATTCGTAGCCATAGGAAATTATTGTCCAACTAATTGTAAATGCTTAACAGAACATTATTATGTGAAATTGAATTGTTCCAGAAAGGGATTAAGCAGAATACCAGAAGTTCTGGTCCACAATGCAAGAATTGTCGATTTGAGTAACAATTATATAAACGAATTTTCAAATGTTGATACTGTTACGTGGAAAAACGTCACTCACCTATATCTGAGTAATAATTGTTTAACTAATATTCCAGATTACTTTCTTCCTTCACAAATGACATTTCTTTCATTAGATGGAAATCGTTTAACAGAACTTCCACCGGGATTAATAAGTTTCATCGACATATCTAATAGATTTAAAATTCGTTTATCGGGAAACGATTGGAATTGTGATTGTGATTCTCGTTTTACAAAGGATTGGTTGCTTAGAAACATGCAGAAGATTGCCGATTTCTCAAATGTTTCTTGTCGAACGAATTCCTCTCTATTGTCTTTTACTGAAATTGTGTACGGTGATTTCTGCATAGAAACTGCGAATAATTATGTTTCTGTTGTCGAATGGCTAATCTCTGTTATCGTTCTCAGTATTGTCATCGTAATCGGTGTTATTGTATTTGTGTATGTTTTTTACTGTAGGAAAATCAGGAGAAAGTATCGCAACCGTAAAGGCAATATACACGAAATTCAGCCATTTATTTCTATGCATATTATACGTAAATTGTGGAATAAAAACAATTATTGAGTAGTCTGCTTAAGTTAAATAAATTAAATTATATCGACTTAAAATATTGTATAAAAGTTTTAGTTTTCACAATAACATCTTAAATTACTGAGAAACATTTTATTACATCAACGAATCTCGAGAACGGCAATAAATAAATGAAAATGGAGATTATATTTAGAGTACCTAGGGCCACATGATCCTGATAAACTGTATACTAACTTCAAGTCTAGACCGGAAGATCAGTGACTTTAATGATGAAGTTTTATACAGCGAGAAATTACAGAGATTAAATCAGGTATGGAAGTGAATTTGAAACTTAATTTGTTAAAGTATTGTAATTCTGATAGCTTGTTTAATTTTACGAGAAAGATTTTATTTTTGACAATTTTTAAAATTTTGTAAATAATAAAGTAATTTCATAGGTCAATAATTTTGCATTTAAAAAGGACAATTGACTTTTGTATAAATTATGTACGATTTGTATAATAATATTTATTATTAATTAAAGAGTTTTATGTGTTGAATAAACAAGATACTTACCTTCCTGTTCCGGATTGTATATTGGTTTATCAGTTTGAATGAATAAATAACCGTTCTCGTAAAGTAGTTTCAGTTTAAAACTTTTCTTGAAATTCTCACTTTCCACCACGAGAGCTAAGTATAGGCTAGCGTTGCTATTTTTAAAGTTAATTTCTTGAAAGTAGACAGAAGGTATAAACACATTTACAACTCTTGGAATGCCTACGTATTTAAAGAAAATATTTTACAATATCATAAAAGTTGTATTGAATGAATCGTAATATCATAAGATAAATATACAGTGTGTTTAATAAGTCAAGCATCGTACTGAAATTTAATGAGTTCTTCTGTTTCAGGAAAATGTCTACTCATCAAAATTTATACATGGTTTTGAAAAACAAAATAATTGAAGGAAATAGAAGAATTCCTCTGCAAGCAATGCTTGGCCATCAATTATCAAAACAATACATTATAATTGCAAAACAATAAACAGTTTTCTATTTATACTTTTGCAAAAATATACATGCAAAAATATATGTCCAACAGCGTAAAAGCTCTTTCCAGCATTGTATCTTTAAAGTCGTGTGTTGTATGAGTGGTCCATCACTAAAATTACCGGAGAAAGTCATTTTAAGACAAATTAGCTTAAAAGTAATTTCTGATTGCAAATCATTGTCGAAATTGATACTAAAAGTATGTTCTATTATGTTATAATCCATATTTAAAATGGCCGCATTCAGCGATAATACAATAATGTAAACGGCCGAGCATGACTTCATAGCACTCCTACAGTAGTGTTACTTTTTCTACAGACTTGTGGTATGTATCTCTCTGGTTTGTCAAAATTAGTTGGGGTTGGGGGTACACATTATAAAGAAATGCTTTTACATTATTCCACAGGAAAAAATACAAACACCTTAGGTACGAAGAATATGACAGTCATGGAGCAGAGCCATGTTATCCTATCCAGCAGTTGTAATAAACGTCTGTCTATAATGAGTGCTACCACAATACAGTAGATTGCTGGTCACTAACCTGTTGTTATTTCGCCAATAATAATTCATGGAGCAATTCTTTCATTATCACGCGTAAGATGTTTACATATTCGTAACTATTTAGTACTATCATTGAATGTGGCGCCAAGAAGCTGCCTATTCTAATTTTTAAACAAGACGTTTCACGAAAATCGCACTCAGTGTTAAGCATATCGCGTGCATTGTGCAGCACACTCTATCCAATGGTAAGCATTGTAAAAATTATAGACTCCACTTCGGTATAATAGTGCCTATTTAAACATAAAACACGCTAAAGACAGTATTTTGCCATGTAACACCATCTTGCACCATAAAAAATTTCCTGCAGCATCCTCTGCATGTTCCGTTGGTTGCAGTTAGCAGCATATGAGTTTATATCATAATGACGTAATATTCGGCATATTTGTGTCTGCTGCAGTCCACAACCTAACCTGACTCAATCGGACGATAATTAAACATATTGTAGAGCTATAGTAAACACTAATTGAATGGAGACACACCATACTTTAACGAATCATGGTGTATCATAGTTCAGTGATCCCTGTGTAATCAGAACAATAATTATTAACGTGAAACAATTATAAAACCCTCTTAGCAAAAGCACAATACCTTTCTGAAGATTAACTCTGGAGTAGTGAAAATATGTCGTCTCTCCAGGATAATCTTTCAAAGAGATCGTCAGTTATTCATCTTCAGTTCCAATAATAGCAATTCCTTGATTTGTATCAAGACGAATCGACTTTGGTGCTGCTATAAATATCTTTCTGTGAAATATTATTTAATAGTTTTGAATGAAATCCATTTTTCCGTTGTAAATACACGTAAAAATCATACAAAATATATAATAAAAATTAATAAAATTATTAATGTAAATAGTAAAACTTTTTTTATACACTATTATAAATCATAATGCGATTATTACAGAAATTTCGCTTAATACAAAATTTTATTTGTAGATCAAATAATACACAAAAAATTATAAATTAGCGTATTTAATTTACTTATATGTATAGCCTACATGCAATTAAAGATTATATTCACGCTCTTACAAACACAATTGCTATAAGCAAATTGATAATAATTGAAGACATTAAGTATCATAAAGAGTTAATGCTGGTGATGTCCCTATTAGATAATCATATGCATTAATAATTGTATTGTTAATATTAATGACGTATAAAACATAACTCACGAGATATAAATAAAAAAAAATAGATATATGCATCAATTCTAAAAAGACAAGCTTAACTTGTGTGATTTACTGATATAAATGCAGGAGCGATAGATAATCATAAAGTTGCATAGAATATTATATAAAGCTGAAAAAGTAAGTAAAGCATGGCACTGATTAAGAAAGTACGAATTCCAGTCAGTTTGAAGGTGGGATTAACCAGTGCAGGTTGCCAAAAAGTTTAACAGGCTATTGTTTGCTGTGGATGATTAGTGGCTAATTTGGATTTCCTACCAATTAAATATATATTTCGAGCTATCTTTTCGGTCGTGGTAGTTAGTTCTGGTGTCTATAAGAGTAGGATCAATTGTAAAATCAAATTTTTTTGTTTGTATTTTCGAAGGTATAGTTCAAACGTTTTAAATAACTTTTCATATATTATTGGCATCTAAGCGTATTTAAATCCTAACGATAGTGATCTGCATTCATTTTCAAGAAGACATTAAATTTGTTTGATTATCTACGTACACAGATTTGACATTTGTGCAATTATATTTAATTTAATCATATTATAAAAATGCTCACAATAAATAAAATATCAAAGAGAACTTTATCTTAACAAAATGTAAGGTTCCATTGATAAGAAAATAAAGAATTTATATTTAAAAATTAAAAAATTCTTAGCTTCTGTTTAAACGTGCCAATTCTGGAATCCACAGCAATCTACTAATTTTAAATTATTGTATACCTTTCAAAAGTATATAATAGGTTACAGGCATTCCGGCTGCTTTCGAAAAAAAAATCCGTTTGGAAATAATTTTCATTGCCAAATCCTAGTCCTTCTCAATTTTTCAAACTACAAAATAAACCGAGGTTTGTTTTTACACATAGTTTTCACGAGTTATACGAAATTAGTAGGAGAAATGCCTTCAAACAGTGGCGTAGCGAGGAGGGGTAAGGGGTTTATCATGCACCGGGCGCCACTCGCTGAGGGGCGCCCAAATGCTCTCCAAGACAAACTATATTTGTTTCTGGAGGGGGCATCAACAAAGTGCCATGCCCCGGGTGCCAGTTACGTTCGCTGTACCATTGCCTTCAACGAGCACTTTTATATTTTGGCTTCTATTCAAGTGTCACTAACGTGTAAAAATCTAGAAAACGTTAAGAGGCCAGGTCAGTAGACAAGCGCAACTTAAAAATTATGGATTTTTCTTCCTAACTAACAAGTGAACAAAACACTTTTCTGTAAAGTCCTTTAGAGATGCATCTTCCTAAAGTAGATACGCATTGTGTTGCATTGCGTTTACATATCGCACCAAACTAGTTCATAGGAACTTTCTATATTTTATTTAATTAGACATACTAGGCAGAGCCCATGATGCGGGGTATACAATAATTCGTTACATGTACATTACACAAAGAAATATCATATTCCATCCATTATTACAGAGAAAATTAACATACACATAAATCAAAACAAAAATTATACAAGTATTATTATAAACATCAAAATAAATATCTGAAAATAAATATCTGAAAACCCACTATCCAAATATAAACATATAACATAATAACAAAAAATCATCATAGGGAGAACTATCCAACCAAAAACATCATTAAATAAAGAATAAAAACATTAATTACACCCACCTATAAAAGAAAAAGGATTCAATTATTTTATCCAAAATGTGGATAGTTTCCCAACACTTCTTAGCCACAAGCACACTTTTAAGGAAAAAAAATGCCACTATTCGGCAAAAAACGAATACTCCAACATGCAAAATAAACAACGATGTAGGTACAAGGGATCACTAAAACAAAAATAAAAAATCAACAAAGATTACCTAAAAATTAATTTAATCTTTTGAACAAAATTAATTAAATCGAAATACCTTATATTAGTAATAAGTTTCAAAAAATTCTCCAACGGAATAATAGAAGTTCCAAACACATTTTCCCGAATTTTTTCTAACTTAGAGCATTTAGCAATCACGTGAAAAGCATCCAATTATTAATCAATCTGATTATCCTTACAACACATGCAAATTTCTCTGCGATAATTCTGTAAAAAATTAAGGGAATTACATCTAATTTGCATTACTGTGGCACCAATATTGAAAGAATTATTATTATTATAAAGCGAACAGTCAAAAAAAAGATTTATTTAAGTGCTTGTACCAATCATTATAAGAGCTTGCATTAATTCGTTGATTCAAATCCATAATAAAATTGTCAAAATAATTTAATTTCAAAATAGAACAACTATCATGCTTATTTAATAATTCATCAAAATTAATACTATTATTAACACAAATTTCCCTTAGACTTTTAGACCACAGAAAGTCCCTCTTATTAAGCACATAACACAAACAAATTCTGCTCCATCGTTTTTCATTCAATGCAATAGTCCTAAAAGTCCAATTCAAACATTTATTCAATAATGTAAAAGATAAAGGTAATAACGAACATTCCATAAAAATCAAATAATTTGGGGTGCAACGAGACAAACCAAATAACTTTTTTATAAAATTAACCAGAACCGGATCCAATTCGTCATATTGGTATCCCCAAACCTCAGATGCATATAACATAGATGATTTAACAATTGAATTGAAAATCCTTAGACAATCTTTCAAATTTCGCAATTTCGCCGATCTACACATTTGAATAACTTTATCAGTTTTAACAAA